TGTCAGTAGGAGACTGTTCAATTACAGTCGTAAATATTAATGGGAGGATTAAAACAACCAATAAAAAATGAATATGTCTATCTTGTAAAAAACTTTCTAATCAGACGGATAAGCTGCTTGTATTATCAACAACATACGACAGAGTCATTGATGTGATAAATTGGTTCAGTTTAATATCAAACAACAGACCAATTATATTGTCAAACAATAAAAGGGAAAAGAACCATTTGTGTACTTAATTATTCGTTTCGAACTTTTCTTGGATGACATTGATCTTGGCGAAGTCTTCTTTTAAATTTATCAGTTTTACTTGAATAAGTGTTCATGTCTGTAAATTTAAGTTATTGGAAGGTCTTTAATATAACGCCTAATGAAGTCATATTTGCTCACTATTAAGGAATTCTTGTACTCTTCAGTCTTCGGTTCCTGCTTTACTTCATATTAATCCAACATACCTCATCTATCAAAATTTTATTCTTTAAATACACAAACTACTTAAATTTTATTACAGTAGTTAACTTCTTACAATATAATTTTACGCCTGTATTCTGTGTTCGTTATTATTATTATTATTATTATTATTATTATTAACCTTACACATAAAAAGAGGTTTAGGCAAATATGTCACATTCAACAGCAATAAAAAGGAGGGTGTAGTTGGGGGGGGGTAACGAAATAGATTATTGTTTTTTTTTCATTTCCTTCTTCTAATCTAAAATTCCCTAACTAAATTATACCTTATTAATTTAATCCTGTTTCATCACAATAAGCCACTTGTTTTAAACAATCAAACACTCATTTACAACAATTGAAACATTTAATTTGATATATCTGATTTATGAAAATGTAACATAATTATCAAACAGAGAAGTAAATAACCATGAAACAAGATTGAATTTCTATGATAAAAGATGAATATTTTGAAGTTGTAAAATAACTGATAAATCAAACACATCTATAACGGAAGATGATGATGATGACTTTAATATGTTGGGGTGAATTCATCGACCTCTAAATGCTCTGATATGGCCGAGGGTGGAGAGAGTCATCTCTCCTTCTCGAAACGCTCTCACATGACTATTCACATATAGCCACTGACATGGAAGTCCTACTCAATGCCTTCTCGTGGCGTGGGTGTTGTTTATGAAATTGGATGATGTAAAGCGAATGTTCGGCGCTTAGACCAGGTTAATGGACATGGAGGATCCACCTAAAGGAGTTGGAAACTCTGATTCCAAATCATTGATGCACATGGGCTCCATGATCCTGAGGAAACAAATTGCATATGAACCTGCTGTTGGTCACTGACTACCGTGGAACCGCATCTTCTTACGCTGCTCCGTTGCCTAGTGTATTACACTTCATTTGTCTGTGCAACTGCTTTCTTTCTCAAACGTTTATGGAGATCGGTTCATCATGATATACTATCAACTGAGTAAATTTTCAAACTAGCGTGTACTGCATGAGTATTTTGTTCTACGCCGAGACGTGTAAAGATTGTCTTAGTTCACCATCTCATTATCAACTCTCTCACGATAATAACGTGACCATCTTAAAGAGTTCTTAATGATAATTCTAACGTAACTGAATTCCATAAATCACCTTATCTCACTAGAACTTTGATATTTTTCCCATCTACGGTGTGTGCTACCGATGTCGACAGATATAAGTAGTATGTATCATCAATCAAAGGTGGAATGCCTGACGGCAGAAGGTTAAGAAGATGAAAGCGAAGAGAAAGAGAATATAGAGTGATTGATGTGGGAACGAAGGAACAGTCAAGTGTAAGACAATTGAATGATATTTTGCAAATGAAGTATTTACTGTATGTTTTACTCAGACTTTACCAAGAGATTCTGTAATTTTGGCTTTCCCCACCTGTGTTCCCATTCACTACACTACCACTTAACTCACTTTGGCTAGTATAGTACCATAACTTCACCAATTTATAATACTTGAAATTCAAATTCATAAATATGTACCTGTTTGATAAGTTACATTAGTGTTTTGTACAGTAGTTTATAAATTAAAGAACTCAAATTCACTTGCTACTGTTACTTGAACCCTCTCATTGATTTTTTAGGTTTGCAGTTGGTTAGTCTCTTATTGGCATATGTGTATACTGTGTGTATTGCTAATTGGATAACGGGATTGCGTTAGGAGTGAGCGGTATTGAGTTTGGGTCCCAGATTGAACATCATCTCTGAGATGCAGGTACACTCAGTTGACGAGTCCCAAATAGGATGAAACGTGCGTCAAACTGGATTCCACTGCTAACCACTATCCATCTTTGCTTATTAATGCACTTAGTTTTCTGATCATAAAGTTTCACATTTAAAATTCTCTTTACTTAATTTGATAAGTAGTACACTACTTTGTCACACAATAACATGATATAATTTTAGGGCTGATAAATGAAGTGGATTAAGTGTCATAGTAACACCTATCTATATTAAACGACCTCTTTCTGTTATTGAAGCTATTTAGTCAAGATGAATTTAGATATTTGACTCTATGAACTTTCAACCAGCGTTAGGAATATATGCTATTGGGTCTCGACTTGTCGGTAAAAAGCTATGAAGTCCAAAGTTTTCTTAGGTTCGATCTTGAATGGGTTCGTAAATGTACACTATTGAGGTCCCTTGTACTATAACTAAATAGATATCTAGTGTTTTTGTCGGGAATGTTAGATCCACAGAGTTCACTTGATAAATGTCTTATTTTTGCAATTTTATTTTGAAAATTTGACTTTGTTGTTTAGGCGCCAAAAGCACCTACTTTCATCTTCATGTCGTATTTTCCAACTAAAGGAGGCCTTAAATGTCATTGGTTCGTTGTCGATCTTAACATGTTATTTTGTAACGTTTACCAAGAACATTTTTCTTCTGTATCTATGCTCTTGAATAGTGCTTGTGATTTTTGTGGCTGCTTGTGGAAAACATTTCCCTCTTCTGAACCTGAACTTCTATCTCGAGTTAGTGGGACTGGGATACATCGGACTAGTTAGCTTATTAGATCATTGTTTCACTGAATGTTTGTTTCATTCACAGATTACGTGAACTCGTAATCTTTTCAAATATAGCGATCTTGTGATATTTAATTGTTCTTTATTCAAGATCATTCCACAATATAAATCAATAATACACACAAATCCTCTGTACTACTACGTTCATAAGTTAAGACATCAACCTCTATGGTGAAATAAAGTTTGAACTGGTCAAATCAGAATGTCACTGAATTGGCATCAAACAGTCTACATCTTCGACTTCAGTCAGTAAATGTGAAGATTATAAAACAAAATTAGTGACATTTGTTCCATTTGAATTGTGGTGCGAATGACATGAGATATCAAGTTCATCAGTTTGAAAGTGATAGTGAAAGTGTTAGCACCCGACTAGGAAACAGTAAACCTAAGGGTACATTTTTCCCGAACGATTTGACTTTTGGATTACCCAAACCGTGCATTTAAGATGAAAGTGAGATGATGAATTGTAATCAGAATATGGAAACTTAATAGAGGATAATCAACTGTACGCACATGATTACTAAACATAAATGTAATGAGCTTAGAAGATTCAAAACATTAAATTTGGACATAAGTTAAGGAAACATTGGAAATTGGGGAGTACTGGAAACCTGTCTTATTCTAGTGTGAGATTGAGAAGTCTTCAGATGATGGTAAAATCCAATTTTAACAGTGAAGTAAACTTCTTATTATTTCAAATCAGACAGTTATCTTCAGTTTGCTTGTAACTATGAGAAACTGTGACTAATTTGATTTATTATCAAAAGGGTGTTTTTGTGGATATTATAGTAATTTAATAGTTGAGTTCATGAGTCCATTAAAGCTAGACCATCATGGAAAACCCGGAAGCCGTTTTGTCCTAGTGTGGAACTCCTTAGAAATGCACATCCAGGATCCCGCCCCGCATGATTCGAACTCAGGACCTATCAATGATTTAATCAAATAACTAGTGAGAAGGCAATTGTGAAGTAAGATAACTGTCTCTTTGTATCATAAAATGATTGGATGTAATAATATAGATTATAAATTCACAACTCAATATCTCAAAGACAACATACTAGAATCAAGACCTGAAGATCCTTAGTGTTGGGACGGCTTCCGAGAACTACAACAGAGCCTCTCGCGGCTCTAAAGGAGTTGAAGAGTTTCCATCCAATCAGAATGTGTTGGAGCTTTTTAGAATATCAACGTCATATCCTACTGTTGGACAGTAGCATAACATATCTCTTTACGAATTGGCTGATTTAGAATGTTGATGTAACCAACTTTAATATCTCTAAATACCCATGATTTTCTGTACATTTTGATTGTTACTCAACAAGCACTACTCAAGTCTTCTTCTGTCTTACGATTTGAGACTGTTGGACGTTCTATACATTCTAGTACCGTAGTTGTATACCATATTCTACGTTAATTAAGCAGTGAACTTAACACATGGTTCTGTCCTCGGATCTAAGATTATCATACTACACAACCATTACATTGTCTTTAGATCATTAAGTTGATTATCTTGCCCCAAAATGCCCTGGTATGGCTGAGAGTGGGATGGGCCCACTCTCCCTCTCGAAGTGCTCTCACACGGCCACGCGTGTACAGCCACTGTCAAGAAAGACTCACTCACTGCCTTCTCGTGGCGGGGGTGTTGTTTACGGAAATGACAAGACGAAAAGCGAATGTCCGGCGCCTTAACCGGATTCCAAACCAATGGTGCACATGAGCTCCATTATCCTGAAGGAACAAATTGAGTATGAATCAATCGTTGTTCACCAGCTACCATGAGACTGTATCTCCTCACGATGCTTCACTGCCTTGTGGGTCAGACCTTTAGGTCCAAAGCTCGGGATGTAGCCCTCTAAGGAAACCAGTTGCTTCGGTCTGGGCACCCGGGCAGTATCCCAGCCCTCACGCATATCTATTTGGTGCCTCCTTATACCAATGTTTATGTGTTTAAATAAATAAATAGAAACTATCTTACACTTTTTATGTGTATTCCCATTCATCATCATTGTCGTACTGTCAACTTTTTCACTTCTCATTTCTTGACATACATTATATGTAATACAATTTTCACCTGTTAATATATTTCGAAGAGATTTTGATGATAATGTATGATGTGTTGAATCATGTTCATTTATATTTAAATTTGGTTGGGATAAATGTTTTTCTTCAATAGATATAGTATATGAACGACCACGTGAACCATCTCCAGTTAATGGTGAACTAAGATCTGTAAAGAAGTAAAACATAATGAGAATAGAAAGAAGGAAAACTGAAGATAAACAATGATTATGTAACATTAAAAATGTACACAATTCAAGTGATTATATTAAGCCTTAAAATTGATGATATATATAATCGGTATTAAAAAAAATGAATTCATGGTCATCTAGTACCGGGAAAATAAACTGAACGGTCAAGTCGGTGATGGGAATAATTTTCAGTTCATATTTACTTACTTACTCCTGTAACTCTTAATGAAGCATAGGCCACCGAACAGCATTCACCAACTCACTCTGTCCTGGGCCTTCCTTTCCAGTTCTATTCAATTGTTCTTCATTCTTCTCATGTCTATCTCCATTTCTCAGCGTAGTGTGTTCTTTGATCTTCCTTTTCTCCTTTATTCAACCTTGACGATTCCAAGTGAGGACTTGCATTGTGACACAGTTGGGTGCTTCCCTCAATGTGTATCTTATCCATTTCCAGCTCTTCTTCCCGATTTCTTCCTCCTCTGAAATCTGGCTTGTTCTCTTCCATAGTAAGTTGTTGCTGATTATGTCTGACCAACGGATCCGAAGTATTTTGCGTAGGCAACTGTCGATAAACAATTGTATCTTCTGGATGATGACTTTCGTAGTTCTGCAAGTTTCCCCCCAATACAGTAGAACTGTCAAGACATTTGCATTTAAAATTCTGACTTTGGTATTGTTTGACAGATGTTTTGAGCTTCAGATGTTATTCAAATATAGATATGCTGCTCTTGCTTTGCCGATCCACACCTTCATATCTGCATCCGATCCACCTTATTCATCAATGATGCTGCCTAGAAATGTAAATGTTTTTATCTTCCAAATCTTCTCCATCGATTGTGATTTGATTGATGCAAGTTGTGTTGTATCGGAGAATTGGTTCATAGTAAGTTACTACTTATAATCTGACTGATCATTTATCGTTATTAACATGAATAATGAAAAAAAACATAAATCATCACAAATAACTTTATCTCCGTTACAAAGTTGTTGACTGTCCAGAATGAGTAGCTCATTTGATAACACTCTTAGTGTTTGAAGCTGTAAGTACTGGGTTTCAAACAATATTAGGATGTTGATACTAAAATGTAGTTAAATCTGACTGAAAAGTCGCATATTAGACGAAACTTACGTCTTGTATTCCAACTTTCTTAATAGATATGTCAAACCCTCGTTCATAACTTCAAGCAGTTGATTTATATGATTGGGTTAGAATTAAAAGATAGACAGTAAGACATTGTTTTTAACCAACAATACAATGGTAAAATGAATTCAGTCTTAAGAAAAGAAGGTCAATAGGTACCCGTATGGCTCGTATTTCATCCTGTTTGGGACTCGTCACCTAGATGTATCAGCATCCCAGAGTTAATGTTCACTCCGGGACCCGAACTTAATACCATTCGCTTCGAATACCATCGTGTTATCCAATTAGCTACTGAGTTCTCATAGCCATCTGCTTACCATCCGAACATACAGAGAGATATTAATAAAATGCATCAAACTAACATTTATTAAGAATATTCTATATCTCACCTCTTTTTTTGACAGTCCTTTTAGATTCCCCTAAACGATAAGTGTAACTTTCAACATTCTCTCCACTTAATGGATTTTGTCGATCTGTATTTATCAAAATCAAAATTAAATATTTGTGAGTAAACTTTTGATATTTTTACAGTTAAATTTCATGCTACTTAAAATAAAAAAGTAGTAATGAATATGAGATATTCATTTATTAGTTGAATTCACGAATCAGTTAAATCTAGGCCATCATGGAAAACATAGAAGCACTAGACGGCCGTTTCGTCCTAGTATGTGGCTCCTCAACAGTGCGCATCCACGACCCCGCCCTGCGGGACTTAAACACAGGTGTTCATTTATCCATATATCTGTGAGACCTATAATTTATGGATGACCTTTGAGCAACGCTAAAGTGATATTAAGAGTGTTCACCTATTTATTAGGATTAAACGAGAGGTATAGATTTGTTCTGAAAAATAAGGATTATGATTTACAATTGATGGTTATGAACTAGATCTGGAGTTTTGATCTCGAACTGACATCAGCTGCTAGCGATATTTCATAAAATATCAGCTAGTATATCAAAATGCTCATTAGCCAAATGGATGAATCAATTTCGATCCGAAGTCCTAAACCTAGTCATTATGTTCAAAGTATCTTGATATAGTGGAGTCTGTAATGATCAGATAACTTAACCACGTAATCGCTACACTAAGGGTAGTAATTAATGTTTATTATTTGTGATCTATACTAGATTTATGGGAACATGCATAAAAGCTATGCTTAGGGATTATGAAAAAGATCAAAGAAACAATCCTTTTGTCACATATTGTCTAACAAGCCCTGAAACAAATCACGTTGATTCTGCGAACTACAGTTAGAAAGTTTTTGATTGAGATCATGAACCTATTGTTGTTAGACCACCAGTGAAATACTGGAAGCACTGGACGGCCGTTTCGTCCTATTGTGAGACTCCTCAGCAGTGCGGATCCACGATCCCGCTCGCGGGATTCAAACTCACGGCCTTCAGTTGAGCGCGCGAGACTCCACAACCATATACTGATATTTTGAAAGTTGACAATTTATAATGAAAATCAAACCAACTCTCAATGTTACTGCAACTCATGCGATATCTTAATGTGAAATTCTTTAATGTTTTTTAGATCTTTTCTTTTAGTGATCATCACAAGCGTCCAAGCTGTCTTGTGAAAAAGCACAGAAAACAAATATATTGCTCATCAAGGTCTACAAAAGTTCGTAACTAAACCAAACAATTCTCCATGTTTATCTAATAGAACACTTCAATCCTTAACATGACTCTTTTATTGTTTCCCTCATTCACTAACAATACACTAGGTTAGGTTTCATTCAAATACTTTTTTTATACCATTCAAATACGACGCATTTCTTTGCAAACACTTAAGTAACCGTTCTTACCCTTCTTATTTGAGCAACTAGTTAAACTTGTCAGCAAAAAGCTTATTTATGAGTATCGGAATCGAATACTGGACAACAAAACAACTTCAACATAGAACAAATGATAAGGACCTGAAACTATAAAAAAAGCTTTAATCTGGATACAGCAAGCATATGTATAAGTATGAGTGACCCATGATCTAAAGAAGTTCCTAAAAACATGTTGGGATTAATAATGGAACCGATCATTTTCAAATCAATACTGTTCATTACTAGAACTCTTCAAGGAGTTTTTATTGAACACTGATTAAACTACATACTTTTAGCCTCTTTTCATCTGAGGAATTCCCGATGGGAATTTAACCACATATTAGAATATGATATAAAACATAATGTTTATAAAGTCAATAATGCACCCCCCCGATGCCCTGGTACGAGCGAGAGTGAGGTGAGTCACCTCTCCCTTTTCAAACGCTCTCACACGACTGATAAGTCTTGCAAGTTGGACGCTATATTCGGTTCCTAAGCTATTCTTGTAACCTTCCAAGCTAGAACTACACAGCAACCTGAACACGAGAGAAAAGATGCAAAATATGCGGGAAGCAATGTACTCCAAAGGTTCGTTTTAATACAGAAAATATAGGGTTTTTATAATATTTTAAATGTCCTTGGGTTGCTCGAAGATTCTGGAATTTTACTAAACATAGAAGCAGTATAGCAATCAGCCAATCAGAAACTCTACATGTGACGTTTCACTTCCTTGATGTTCCTGGCTAAAACTTCAAGTGAACGCTGATTGGATGAAATGCTTTTTAGTGTTTCCTGTTCCTTGCTTGTCTTTTGCGAGGAATTTTCTGGATCACCCCAACAATGACCACGTGCATACAACCACTGCTAGGGAAGTTCTACTCAATGCCTTCTCGCTGCGAAGGTGTTGTTCACGAAAATGAGAGGACGAAAAGCGAATGTACGGCACTTTAACCTGGTTGGTGGATACGGATAGTCCAACTAGGGGAAATGGAAAACCCTCAATTCAAACCAATGGGTTTCAAGATCCTGGCGGAAAAAATGGCGTATGAACCAATCGTTGGCTGCCATCTACCATGGGACTGTATCTCCTAAGGTTGCTCCACTGCCTTGTGGATCAGACCTTTAGGTCAAAGGCTTCAAGTATGGCCATTTAAGAAAACCACCTGCTTAAGTTTGGGCATCCGGAGAGTATTGAATGACTTATGTGGCACATATCTATTTGGTGCCTCCTTGTACCAATGTTCATGTGTTCAAATCAATAAATAAATGGTACATAAGTGAGACTTACCTTTAACCACTCTAGGTGTAACATTTCTTTCAATTGGTGTTATTTTGTAACTTTGAAGATTTTCACCAGTCACTGTATTCCTGTATACTAAAATAACCAATAACAATAATAATAAAAGAAATAAATATGGTATGTATTAAGAATTAACCACAGTGTACCTCATGAATCGATCTTAGTTAGATCACAACTGAGAACTAAATAGTAATAGATACATATCTCTATTCAGTGTAGAACTCCTCAACAGTTCATATCCATAAGCTCAATGAAGGTCGAATCCAGTAATTAATAACCGAATTAATACCGCCTAAAGAACAAGTAACAACAGACTGGAAAGAAGGACAGCTGATCAAGATACCAAAGAAAGACATTCTCAGCAAGTGTAAGAACTACAGAGAAATCACACTTTTCTCAATAAAACGGTGTTTCTAAATAGAATGAAGGACTCCGTAGGTGCCTAACTTCAAGACCAATAGGCTACATTCCGTGTACCGACAAAATCACAACAATACGGATCACTGTGAAACAATCAATTAAATGGAATTCAGCACTCTACATCAACTTCATTGACTACGAGAAAGCATTTGACAGAATGGACAGGACAAGACTATAGAGGCTTCTTCGACACTACGGCGTGCCTCAGAAGATAGCCAATATCATACGGAATTCCCATAGTAGATTAAACTGCAAAATCCTGTATGGAAGACAGCTCACAGGCTTGTTGGAGGTGAAGACCGGTGTTAGGCAAGGCTGCCCACTCTCACACTTTCTTTTTCTTTGAGTGATCGACTAGATCATGAAGATATCAACATATGGGTCGAAGCACGGGATACAGAGGACAACTAGGATGCAGGTGGACAATCTAAACTTCGCAGAAGATCTAGCTCTTCTATCGCAAACGCAAATTCCAAAAACCTACAAATACAGAAGAAGACGAACAGTGTAGCAGTAGCTTCAGTATCAGTAGGTCTCAACATACATAAAGGGAAAAGCAGGATTCTCCGATACAACACAACTTGCATCAATCAAATCACAATTGATGGAGAAGATTTGGAAAATGTAACAATCATTACATATCTGGGCTGCATCATTGATGAACACGTTGGATCTGATGCAAATGTGATGGCGCGGATCGACAAAGCATGAGCAGCATATCTACAATTGAAGAAAATCTGGAACTCAAAACATCTGTCTGTCAACCAAAGTCACAATTTTCGATAAAAATTTGAAGACAGTTCTACTGTATTGGGCGGAAACTTGGAGAACGATGAAAGTCATCATTCAGCAGCTACAAGTGTTTCTCAACATCTGTCTGCGCAAAATACTTCGGATCCGTTGGTCAGACATAATCAGCAACAACTTACTATGGAAGAGAACAAACCAGATTGCAGCGAAGGAAGAAATCGGGAAGAAGAGTTGTCAGTGGATAGGATACACATTGAGGGAAGCACCCAACTGTGTCACGAGACAATCCCTCACGTGGAATCGTCACGGTTGAATAAAGGAGAAGTGAGAGACCAATGAACACATTACACTGAGAAATGGAGACAGACATGAGAGGAATGAACAAGAATTGGATAGAATCGGAAAAGAAGGCCCAAGACAGAGTTGGCTGGAGAATGCTGATGGGCGGTTTCTTCTCCATTGGGAGTAACAGGCGTAAGTAAAAGTAAAATTAGGGATGGTTTCCTCCCTACGAAATTCAAAGACCTATCTACATTCGATAATGATTTTCGTTTTGTTATTATCTTCTCTATTTCTTTTACTTACCATAAGGTTTAGCTGTACGTGGTCTTTCTTCTTGCGATACCATAAAAGCGCTAACATTCTCACCATTCAATGGATTTGAAATTTTGACTGGTGTTCGCTTTTTTGATATTTTAACTTCAGAATTATAATCATATGTTGCACAATTCTCACCAGTTATAGCGTTACGTGAAGGTTCTAAAAGTGAATAGGTCATTAAAATAAGAATCTTTCATTAAGAACTCCATATGAGAAACATTATTCCTAGGAATCATATGGATAACTAGAAGTTAAGAATACTCGATTTGCTTAATAACAATAATATTGTATAAGACAGATTCAAATCATAAGGATAAGCATATGTCCCATCAAGAATACGGACACAACTTAGTAATAAGCATCAATAAGTAACTATCATTGGTTCGATAATCCCTATTGATGACCGCTGAATACTTAAAACTAAACAGACTGTATAATGGTACTGCCCTGTCGTATGCTCGATTATTTTGTATTACCGATCACCTTTCCTTTATGTATGAAAGTTATACTACTTAGTAGTACTCAGTAGTTCATGTCACCACTGATCATTTTTGAACATGATTCGGAACAGATTACCGATTAGTCATGTGACAACTATCATTCATTTTCCATTATTGATGGTAGCTGTTTGACATGAAGTTTCTATTTCCAACGATTCATAGACATTATTTTTCTTGCCAGTTTTTTTTTCCCTGAAGAACTCCACTTGTAACTCTTTTAGGGCTACTACCAGACACAAGCCCGGGTAATGGGGGGGGGGCAACCCCATCTCGTAGAAAACAACCTTGCTAAAAATACGCTAACCGGTCCTCCTCGACACTGAATCAATATACCTGAACACCTCACTATTCGAGGTTTGTAAACTTTATCGGTTATGCTGATTTTCTTTGACAATAATCATATTCTTTGGATTTTAAGATTTGGCATATAAAATTATTCAGTGAATGCGAATTATGGAAAGGATTCTATAATTGGTCTAAATAATTCAATATGGTGCCTTAGAATTTATTTCATCTTAAGTAGTTGATGATGATTAGTAGTATAAAGTCAAACTGAGTTTGTAGCGTTGGTTACTAATGTTAAGCCTATCTACCTTATTCTAGCTTCTGAACAGGCCAGTTTATCCATTCTTCTTGAGTCATGTTTTAATCTTGTTAATTATTCATTTAACAACTCTGACTGTTTTTATATGAGCGTATGTGTGTGTACACTTCTAATCCTATTCATCAAATGTATGCAGCTTATTTTTTGTGTGGTTTTAAATATCTATTAACGCTTGATTTAATCAAGTTGGTTCACGCGCCTTCTCCACTGGACGTCATTTCACTTCGATCTCTTCTCTTCGTTTCGTTCCTCTGATTGTCTGTCTAGATCAATGAATGTACAAAATATACGTATTCAAAACACTTATTCTCGTATTTGACTTATTTAATTCCGTTATTCACCAATGCGATTTAAGTCGATGTAATATATGAGGATTGACGACATGTATATCTCAATAACGATCAGTCATGCGATTCATTTGGAGTCAGATCTTGGGCCACTAAAGTGGTGAGCCCGTCGGTAAAATTGTCTAATATAATTGACGTCAAAATGGAGGGCCCCATGGAAAGTTCTTCTTTCGTTTCATATTTCAATCATCCAGGTTAAAACAAGTTATCTTCCAGTGTTTATGTCACATAATTTCCTGAATTATACTTCCTAGTACTCAGACACATAAAAATAAATTTCAAAGTAACGAAGTTAAGTTACTACTGAGCGAAGATTCGAATCATGAGTTGGGCATTTCTCGGGTTGATAGGCGTTTAAGGTAAACATCAATTCAGCTTCATGTTTGGAATCGGTTAGAGATTGCAAGTAACTGAAAATTATTGAATACTATCTTCGTTCAAATTTGGAACTACATAATAGTGTGTACCATGACACCCTCATCTATGTCCTGAAAGTTTTGCATAGAACACAAAACTTTCTTAATGTGAATGCGGAAACGTTTGTCAGTCAAACTTATGCTAATTATAGGTAGCAACAAAAGTTCGCGCTCAAGACCGAAGGTTCTGGGTTCGAATACTGAGTGCAGTATTGCCAATGTGTACTGCTAAGGAGTCCTATAACAGGACGAAACAGCCATCTAATTCTTTTCAGGTTTTCAATAGTGGTCTAACGTTTATCGATTCATGATCTTAATCGAATACTCAACAATCTCCACAACCCTAATGCTGATACCTATAAATATTTTGATTGCTATCACTCACCTCGTTGTACACGTTTAATAGGAGATTTCAATTCAGGTGAAACTGTGTAATTCTCACAATTTTCCCCAGTGAAAATATTCTTCGTAGAAACTGGTTTGTTGAAAATTAAAAAAAAGAAACATGAAACTTTTACAATGAAAAGTTGCAGTCCTAAATAACAATGGGAAGATTCAAGTTAACAATACCAAATGAATTTAAACTTCACCCTATTGCACAAGCAAGTGTCCATGAGAACTCAGTACCTAAGTGGATAACGCGTTGGCGATTGATGCAAACGGTACTGGGCTCTAGCCCCAGAGTGAATATCAACTGTGGGATGCAGATACATCCAGGTGATGAGTCCCAAATAGGACGAAACGCATGGATTACACTGTTAACCGATATCCATCTTTGCTTATAATGTAATGAGTTACATATTATATAAGGTATCCTTGATTACATATTTGACTCATTGTGTTAGTTTAATCAATGAAAGTATTTTGTAAGATGTCAATCACTATCATTCATCTCCTTACTTAAGATAAGATTTAACATAACTAATTAATCGCTAGACTGTTTTATATTGCGGTATCAGTATGGAGAGTAAAGATTTGATTGATTGAGGTAATAGTAACCTATAAACTTGATTTTCTTTTCCAGTCATTTGTAACAACGAATTACATTTTAAGGAGTTAATATGTATCAAAAAGGGTTTTCGTAGATATTATAGTAATTTCACTAGTTGAGATCATGAGTCAATTGAAACTAGACCACCATGGAAAACCTGGATGTGCACTGCTGAGGAGTCTCACAATAGGATGAAACAGCCGTCTAGAGCTTCCAGATTTTTCATGGTGCTCTAGCTTCAATTGACTCATGATGTCAACTGCTAAAAAAAGAATTAATATAAGTTAGACATAGACGTTTGATTAATTAGTGTTGAGTACTACTAAGTTTGCAGTACATAAACGTGATTGGTAATTAATGTAAATCGTATTTACTATAGCGCATTGAGATATTCGTTTCGATTTGTTTTCCGTGCCAAATAAATCTACATCTAATATTTTCATGTTCTTACTTGTGTTGTGAGATTCGTGAAGTCATATAGTTGATACCAGTTATTATTTGTTATAACAACAACTATCGATGTGTTTTTGAAGACTGTAGTAAATTATTATCTGAATCAGCTTTTATATTTTTATTTGTGTCGTGAAAAATGCACTGGTTTCCGGTATTGTAATGAGCCAATCGAGCTGTAATAGCTTGATAAAATCATTCTTCAATGTCTTACCATGCCAGTCAGGCAGGTCGGTTGAAGAGCCGCAGCACTAAAAGCAGCAAATCTAAGGTGTGAAGGCGAAGTCGTACTGCTGAGTGTACACATGTGTGACAGCAGTAAGGTGTTTTCTTCAAACAAACAGCATAAAAGTGATTCTGCCTCCTCTCAAGGAAGGATGGAGTTAGAAAAAGTCAATCTTAAAAACACACACCGCACCTTATCCCACAGATTTCTGTCTACAGCGATAAGATCCCAACAAGTACCAAGCTAGCACGAAAATTACTCGCAAAAAGGTCGTGTGTAACCGGCCTCAAGTAATTGTCCCCTGGGCATTGCGATCACACTCTCAGATCACTAAGACCACCTCTAATCTAATTTCCTTTTCAGGTACTTCTAGAAGAACACTTTCAACAAACATTAAGTTTAATCATATGAGAACTAGGGTATCTTGAACGATTCTGCTAAGCTCAGAGAGATTACACCGAAAATTGGTGAATTGAACAGGGGATTAACAACACAACAGCAAGACAAGCTAAACTATTCACTGCGCCCCAGCCTTGCTAGCTAGACGGAGAAGACCAGATTCAATTGAGGGAAAGTATATTCCACAAGACGTCAGAATCACGAATGAGCAATCACATAACTCAAGCATATAAAAATGTCTTTAGGAAACGTCACAAAATACCATATTAAAAAAGGGAACAAACCAATGACATTTAAGATCCTTCTACGTGGGAAATACAAACTAAAGGTAAAACTGTGCGCATTTAGTTCGAAAATGAGAACTTCAACTTCTAAAAATAAAATTACAAAATGAGACGTTTACCAAGTGATTTCTGATGATCTATCATCCTCAACAGATTCAATGATGAACCACCTAGTTTCATATTTGAAGATATTGATAATAAACCATTCTGGCGATGAGGCAGGAATCAGAATCGCACGTCATCCATCTACTGCTTTACCATTAGTAGTACATTTTACGGATGGATATCAAAAGTACGTTACATAACACTACAGTCTATAATATTGTTACTAAGTCACCTTTTTATGTAGATAATTGTTAGCGGGACATAGACTGGATTAAAGCATGCTCAATACACGATTGCTTTGGTGCACGCTGATTGGCTAATTTTTATCCAATCAGCACTAGTCGATAAGTGGAGAATACTCTAGAATCTTCTCATGTGAAAACTATAAATATACTAACGTTTTCTCTATTGTGCTTCTTAATTCCATCTAACCTTGTTATTTGGAATATGATCTCTTTCCTGTTCAACCGTGTTCTGATTTGGGGACTTGTCGAGTGAATCGGTGTCCGAGACCACTAAGCAATAGGAATAGCTGGGTCATAACCGTAAGAAAAGAGAGAGATTATAACAATAATAAAGTGATAATATTCACAAATCTCGTTCAAACTGGTTAGCTATTAACATCCTATAATCAAACTATGCGATACAAAATAAGAATAAAAACTATTTACCATTTCGTTTGCATACACCATTTTCTTTATTTGTACATCTTTCCTCAGCCATGACAGTGAAAGTTTTCACATTTTCACCAGTTAATGGATTAGTTCTAATACCTAATTAATCATAAAACATTAAAGGTAATTAAAAACATTCATAATCTGTGCACTTAATTTTGTAGAATATTTTATACTACTTATATACTTTTTTAAGTAAGCTGTAATCTCAACAGAAAATTCTCGAAGTTCTAGTGACGAGCTTCGATTAGTAGAGTTCAACTGTGCCTGGTATGAAGCAGTTTGTTTGTCGAAGAAAATGGAAGATTCTCGCGAAACATTGTAGATTAATTGAAATTATATATTAACACTAGTGAATACCAGTTCAATGGTCTCAAGTTTAAGCGTTTGAGTGTGAATCCGAAGGCCCTTGGTTCGAATCCCATGTGCGGGATCGTGGGTGCTCACCATTGAGGAGTCGCATAGTAGGACAAAACGGTTATCCAGTGCTTCTAAGTCTTCACTAGTGGTTTAACAATGATGGGTTCATAAACTTCAAAAATGGATCATCCACAAGAAACTATCATACTAAAATCTATAAAGTTTTATAAATTCGGAATGTAATCAACAGATATTTCATTGAAAAATCATGAAAAATCTCATAAAAGCAAATACAAGTTATAGCACCCCTCCTAAGATGAAGTTTTCCTACGGTTAATTATGTCAAACCCTTTAATTAACTTATTTAATAGACAATGTTATTCGAACAGTAACAAATGGTCTATGTCTTTGTATTATCATTATTATTACATTATTATTATTATTATTATTATTATTATTATTATTATTATTATTATTATTATTAGCCTTATTCAATATTATAATTTTGGTACAATATAGAATTCTCAGCGCAAAGTATTTCAACAAGTTTCCGTTTCTTTCTTCTTCGTCGGTCCTGGCGATAAATATTGAGGAATCGCCAGTTAGATGTTAGCACTTCAGTGAATGAACAACTGAATAATGTACATTCTTTTCGTCGTACATTGCCAGCAACCATATTGTCTCTTATTGAGTTTTCTGTAACTTTGACAACGAAAGGTTGTACACTTTTCAGAAACGCAGCAGAATAGGTTATGCGATTAATAAACATAATGATATATTAAAACAAAACAACAATAGATAACTTGTTGAAATATCTAGATGGCAGGAACAGGTAGTCCAGATGCTCAAGCAGGCCGCCCTATATGATCATATATGCTTGGTTACATGTGACAGCCTACACATATATTCCTTCCTTTATCTTAGCCGTTAGTCACTTAGAAATCTCTTAATCAATCTATCGCCCCCCCATATATATATTATGTATGTATTGGTGAATTGTTTTATTTGCTTATCCAATGGATATCCATCGCCGGTAGCAAGATCTCAACAAATATGGTGCTAGAACGAAAATTAATCACAAAAACGTCGTGTGTGACAGGCCTCAAGTAATTGTCACTTGGGCACTGTGGTTATGCTATCAGATCACTAAGGCCACCTATAACCTAGTTTCCTTTTCATGTACTTCTAGAAGAATGTTTGCACGTTGTGGGCGACCGGGAAGTGATAACTGCCCTCATACCTTTGACAGAACTAAAGATCACTGACTGAATAATGACATAGTATTCTACAATCAACTTGACCTGGTCACGAAAACTGATCATTTGTTTTCAGCTTTAGAATAACTCATAAGTGTATGGCTACAAGTTTTAAGTTTTGACAAGTTCGTTAACTGCCTCGTTTATCTTTATTCACACAGTCAGGTAAGATTAGACTGGAAAAATGTTGAAATCTTCAATGTAAGGAATATGAAGAACATCAGAGAATTTTTAGAAGCATGATAGTCATATCAATCAACAATTAATAAACATGTAGAAATGGATCTACTTTATTAAACAGTCAGAATAAGCATCGACACATTTAGAACCAAGAATTAAATCAAAGGGAGTGATAATCAAAATAAATATACTAATAATGACAGATTAAAACTCCCCCTGAGGCCCCTCTGGGGTTACTTCTGGTCCCATACTCGGATAAAAGAGGAGGGCTGGGCATGGAGTTAACGACCATATCCCGTAGAAAACTAACTCACTAAAAAAACGCTAACCGGAAAATGACAGAATAAAGGTCAATAAGAACCAATCATGATTAAGGTCGATAAGACATTAGTCATATTTTAAGGAAGCTGAATACTTCACTTCTACGTGAAGTTTATGCTGATGATAATGTTCAGAATAATAATGAAAACTCTACGATCATACTAACCAACTCAAAGTAAGAAACTTTACTAAAATGATCGATTTAAACTATTAAATCTTATCCACCATCTTAAAGTCAGATAAAATCACTGACAGGTAAATAAAACAATTTAGGGATAAAACTGGACAATTATTCACTTTCATTATTGAGTTACGACTGCTTTATTCCAACTCCGCCTGGGAACCCTCTAGGGCTCCTGCCAGTCTCAAGTCCGAACAAAAAAGGGGGGTTAGGCGTGTGGTTAGTGACCTCATCCCGTAAAAAAACTAACTCACTAAAAAACGCTAACCAGAAAAAATAATTTAGATTACTTAAAATGCTTTACTTCAGATGTTTTCGAGCTTTGCGAGTTACAGATGATCAGGACATCCAAATAAAAGTCACTCAAATAATGAACATTAAACTAACAAGTTGTTTCATAAATTTTGTAAACCTTTAGCACATGAACTCTTGACAATAACTTAAGAATTTCTAGTTTTTCAGACCTCTGCTACATTTAAATCCTCGAAAAGAAAACAAAAGATGGGAAACTTTCCGAGATTAGTTTGGGCACAGAAGGAAAGGATATTTAAAAGTTGGTGTGTCACCTTAATACCTTACAGGTACTAGAACCATCCACGCATAATTAACTGTTCAATCCAGATATAACAAATGATCTATCATTTCTCAAGAACATTCTAGGAACTTCCTTTCAAACTTTGAATAATGAAATAACTTCAACATTTCCCCAGATTTTAAATATTTTTCTGGCACACTCTAAAGAATTATTTGTAGTCTGTGGGGTAGTACACCTGGTAAACTTTAATTTGTCCCTGACCCAAATTACCTGGTACGGCCGAGGGTGGGAAGAGTCAAATCTCTCTATCTCGAAATGCTCTCACATAGCCACTCAGTCAGGGAAGTCCTACTCACTGCCTCCTAAAGGTGGTGGGGGTGTTGTTTACGAAATTGAGAGGACGAAAAGCGAATTTCCAACGCTTTAACCGGGTTGATGGATATAGAGGACCCACCTAGGGTAGTTGGAAAACTCTGATTTCAAACCAATGATGTATATAGGCTCCAGGATCCTGAAGGAGAAAATGTCGTATGGACCAATTATTAGTCAGCAGCTAACATGGAACTGCATCTCCTAACGTTTCTCCACTGCCTTATGGATCAGACCTTTAGGTTAAAGTTTCCGAGTGTGGCCCCCCTAAGACAACCACCTGCTTCGGTCTGGACACCCAGGGATCATCACAGCCCACACACAAATCAACTGACTTGTATGCCACATATTTATTCGATGTTTCTTCGTATCAATATTTATGTGTTCAAATAGAAATAGAATAAATAATTTCTCACTAAATATCAACCAAATCATCTTTATATTCATTTTGAAGTTCTTTGTATGGCTACTTGGACCGATGCATATATGTGCCTGGTCCTACGTTGTAGCTGACTAACTGACTGACTATAAACAACCTTTTAGAATGATATAAATTATCTCAACGTTTCATAGTTACACAATTGACCTTGAATGGAGGTCATTTTGAGGCATAAAAATTAAAATTATGCTCTTTAGCAAATTCATTAAACTATTTTATTTAAACTTTTGTTCACTAAACAAATACAGTTTCTTTCTTTTAAGACGAATTGTACATTTTGATTAGAATTTAACCTTATTATACAATGAAAGATGAATAACATTCACACGCCAGATCGAAGACCCTGGGTTCAAATTCTGCGAGCCGGATTGTAGATGCACACTGTCGAAGAGTCCCACAACTTGATGAAACTGCCATTCAGTGCTTCTTAAGATTTTTTTAATGATGATCTAACATCAATCAGTTCATGATCTCAATTAAAAGAAAATTTGGGAAATCTTACCAGTAGAACTTTTGGCTCGTCTAGTTTTTCCATTATATCTACCAATTGGATCCCATTCACGATCACCAAAATTTCCTCTCCCAGAAATGGGATCACGTTGTGCTATATATATATGTACAAAGGATACCATTATGTAAAGAAGTCGTTATTGGGAATAACGAAAAATAAACGAGTATAATCAGTATCTATTATGATTCACATTGGAAGCGATTCGAATATATGTATACATGAAAAATATTATAGCAACAAGTCATTGATACTCAGTAACACTTGTAGAATGAGGATAGTGCACAATAAGTCAGTGCAAAAAAAAACAGTCATAGGGAGACGATTGTTGATTACAACCCAGACTCTAACTTGTTGAACGTTATAAAAAGATCATTGTAAATCATACAGATCAGCTAGTTATGTGAATCATCAACAAGCTGATCATTTATAAACAATATTCTTTTCAAAAAGTAAATGATAACATAATAGTTCTAATAAACTATGGTTTACCATTAAAATAAACCAAGTGAAGTACCCTTTCATGGTTTACATGACAGATAGAACTTAGTTAGTCAACCATTGCTATTTAGCCGTAGTGTAGAATTTTTCAGTAACCTGAATCTGCGGTCACATCAGAGACTGACAACATGACTATCAGATCTCATAATATGCCTAAGCTTTAAATGACTAAATTAGCCCCCAATGATTTGTATTGCTAACTTAAATCAACGAACAATATTGAACAGTCATCATCCTATTTCATTGGTGGATGACAACTTCACTCTTAGTACAGTCGAAATTAATTAATCATGGTCCGTCACTAAATCTCCAATAAGTACCTCTGTAAAGAGTTGTCCAGTACATAATCATTCTCAGTAGTTGTCCAATGTCATTCTGTGATATAAGTTATCAAACTGACCAACCTACTAAAATGATCTTGTTTTACCGGACGGATGTTTCACATAATGTTAACGAACCTATTACTAAGGTACTTGTGGAATAATTTTAAAATATCTAATTACATTTAAAGCAAGCACTTATGGTATGATTAACCAGGACAATAATGGAAATTACCCAACGAAGCCATACAGCTAAGGGACTCTAATACAAATAAATTACTTCAACTGATTTGGGGAACAAAGTGAAAATGATTTCATAGCATTATTTACAGTCCCCAACATTCTAAACACCTAAATATTCTTTTTAACGTTTACATCCATTTCAGACAGTTCTTTATCATCGATGTAGGACCTCGTGGGAATGTGCCGTAGTGTGAGCCATCAACTTTCAAATTAACACAACCAGAGAGAAAAGTGGCAGAATAAGGAATAGAAAATGAGATGAATTTCAAGTATAAAGGGGAAATGAAACGTGCACAATTCAATTTACAATAAGGAGAAAATGAGATGAAGAGTTATCAAGCATACTTAACATAAAATTTAAAACACTACAGAGAATGTTAGCAGCTGTACTAATGTGATTTTCTGTCCCGACCGTTACTGCTACCTTGACGTGGTGGTCGGGTCTGATTATTTTAATGGACTAAATGAGCTATGCTATCTGGAACAATCATTCCTCAAGGTCCAACCATGTCAGACATGTCTGTTGAAGAGCGGTAAGAATAAAAGCAGCAAATCCAAGGTGCGAAGGCCAAGTCGTACTGCTGACTGTACAGATATGTGACGGCAGTAGGGTTTTTTCTTCAGACAACCAGCTTAAAAGTGATGCTGCCTTCTCACAAGGAAGGATGGAGTTAGAAAAGGTCTACCCTGAAAATGCACACCTCACAGCTGAAAGCAATATTTAAGGAATATAAACATGACGACTACATATATCAATGAACGAATTTCCAATCCCTATTAGGAATTAGAATTTAATTTCAACAGTTGAGTCATTGATTCGGATCATACGTGCCTAAAAATCATTATTCACAAGTTTTCTTATCTACAAAGGGTGAAACTAGTGAATAATGAGGAAGTTTGTCCGTGCTTCTAGACAATTCAGAAACTTTTAGGGGGTAAAACCTATACGGAGAAAACAAAAAATCAATCTCAATCTGATACATTTTAGAAATCAACAGCGAAATAACTGTCACTAATAAAATTTTCTAGACTAAGACATTACTGATAATATAAGCAGTGGAATCCGGGCGTGCGTTTCGTCCTGTTTGAGACTCATCAGCTGGATGTACCTGAACCCTAAAGTGGATGTTCACTTCAGGGATTGAATCCAATACCGTTTGTTTCAAATGACACCGCATTATCCACTTAGCTACTGAGTCCTGATAGCCACTTGCAATGCGCACAGTATGCACATATGCCAGTAAGAGACTGATCAAGTGCAGTCGTAATCATCAATGAGAAGATTCATGTAAAAGTAATACCAAGTGAATTTACTACTGATAATAGTTTCAAAGGTCTATTAAAGATGATCTACTTGTTTACTCATCTTATTGTTTTAACTTTATTCGTTCATTATTTGAAAATATGATGGAAGCAATTTTTTTGATTATGTATACCCATTCTTAACAATGCACTGTGTAGTCGAATATGTTCAGAAGACTACTGCTTATATAAATTGACATTTCATATGATACTGATTCTTAACATTGAGTTATCGAAATAATAAAATTTCCAGTTCACTTGTCAATATATTCCACATCTTAGTAGTGAATATTCCATTGATTGAAGATTAGTCAACGTAGATAGTGTTAAAGTTTATAGATGCTTCAATAATTCTTAAAGGTTAAAAGTACAAACTGAAAAGACAAGAGAAAATAAACAGTAAGTAACTGGCTTCAAGATGTGTTTCCTGAAGTTCTAATGAGTAGATGTAACCAATGGAGTCAAACCATTTCTGTTGTCAGGCAGTTACTGACTAAAGATAATCATGAACAGTTGTACAATATAGTGAATTGGTTGAAGGTAGACATTAACACCGTTGAATACTGGCTCAGTAGTCTAGAGGTTAAGTGTTCGTAAACGAGACCGAAGGTCCTAGGTCCGAATCTCGCGTACAAGATCGTGGATGCTCACTGTTCACGAGTCCCATACTAGGACGAAATAATCAACCACTACTTCTAGGTTTCTCAGGGTGGTCTAACTTAAATCAATCATTAGGAATTACTACAATTTCCATAAAATCGTATTCAGACAGTAAGTTTTCTATTTTGCCTAAAGCTTTTTTATCTTCTCTATTATTCAATTTGTCTGGGAAAAAGAAATGAAATTAGTTTCAATGAATCAATAATGAATAACCATGACCATTCGAATGAGAAAACCGAATAACTGAATCAAATATTTGAAACGGATTGGCTAGTTACATGGGTGTTTTTTCTCCCTTTTTCCCTCTTTCTTTCTCTCCGTTTTTTTCTTCTTTGAAAAACAAACAAACAATTTATGCTTGTTTGTCAATGATGTCGATGAATCATTTTTTCATAGACAAATAAACAACTCAAATACTCTATTAGTCATTCTAATCAAATCTAATGTATAGTCTAATTATCAAAAAGGGCTTTTGTGGAGATTGTAGTAATTTCAATAGTTGAAATCATGAGTCAATTGAAGTTAGATCACTATGGACAACTTGGAAGCACTGGACGGCCGTTTCGTCCTAGTATGGGACTCCGCAGTAGTGCTCATTCAGAATCCCACCCCCCTCACCGCGAGATTCAATCACAGGACCTATCAGTCTCGCGCGCGAGCGTTTAACCATTAGACCACTGAGCCGACATTCAATGATGTTAATGTCAAAGTTCAACAAATCGATGAAATTGCGCCACCGTACACCATCGTCTTCAATGAGCTAATATCTCACAACAGACCTGGTTGAACTCCACTGATCACTGCTTCTCACAAGAACTCCAGGAAATGCCTCTGGAAGTCAGTCACTAGTGAGAAAATGACTATTATCAGAAGGGGTATTTTGGAGATTTTATTGATTTCAATAGTTCAAATCACGAGTGAATTGAAGTTAGACGAACATGGAAAACTTGGAAGCACTGGACGGCCGTTTCGTCCTAGCATGGGACTCCTCATCAACGCGCATTCAACCCGGTCTGTTGTGAGATATCAGCTCACTGAAGACAATGGTGTACGGTAGCGCAATTTTGTGTATCGTCTAACTGACAATGTGGATTTAAGGTTAAAGATTAAGGAAAAGTTTTTGATGAGATTTTATTGTCTAAAATTTCAGGTTCAAGTTTTTTATGATGATGTTGTTCAGAAGAACGATGGAAGCTCCACGACTATTCCATTCAACTCAGAGAACAGAACTTCATTAAAATCATCCACCTGAGTTACAAGTCTTCTCCATCAACTGAGGAAAAGTGGAATATGAATGTGTAAAAGTAACTAGATTTGGTAAACGCTTGGATTATGGTTAGTATCTTCTTATTTTTACTTAATTGGTTTACATGTATATCTATGGTATCCTTTCTGTATTTGAATAGATTGAAAAAAACATCAGAGTATTTATTTTATTTTTATTTATTTGAACACATAAATATTGGTACAAAGGGAAATCGAGCACTTATGCACCACACAAGTCACTTGATGTGTGTGTGGGCTGGGATACTGTCCGGGTACCCAAACCGAAGTAGGTGGTTTACTTACGTGGCCACACACGGACCCTTCAAACTAAGGGTTTGATCCACAAGACAGTGGGGCAACATCAGGAGATGCAGTCCCACGGTAGCCGGTGACCAACGATTGGTTCACACGCCATTTCCTCCTTCAAGATTCTAGAACTCATACACGCCATTAGGTTGGAATCATAGTTTTTCAACACCCCCAGGTGGATCCTCCATATGCATCAACCCGGTTAAAGCACTGGACATTCGATTTTCCTTCTCTCAATTTCGCAAACAACAATAATGCCACGAGAAGGCACTGATCACTCTCTACTGGATCGATAGTTTTTCTAATAAGTTGTAATAAATTAATATACTTAGTTGGTTAATTTTCGTATGAATTTCCTGTCATTATCGTAATAGAAATATCTTTTTCAAACATAATGGATAAAAGTAAGTGCTAAAAGATGTGCCACACGAATTTTCAATTCCAGTGTACATTTCTCTGACAGTGTGCGTTCACAACTTCACACAGTGATGAACG